AATAATAATAATAATAATAATAATAATAATAATAATAATAATAATAAATGACTTCTCTTATTTTCTGAAGTCCTGATTTAACTGTATCTGTATTCGTACAAAATGCAAGGCATTAACACTGTGATGCTGGTTACTTCACAGACATATTGACAAGTAGAGAGAGCAAGTTTTGTTTTCCTTTATTTCCTACCATGTATACTGCTTTATCATAAGCTACATGAGTAGAAAAGAATGATGCCAATAAATAATCAAGTGTTAACCACGTTGATGGTGGCAACACCTTCAAAGAAAACTTACTGAGGTATCTTTTATGTACCTTAAGTAAACGTACTTTTAGTGGGACGTTCAATGAGCTTTAGCAAATACACAAAGTTCTAGAGTGTCACTATTGCTCAATTCTGGAACATTTCTCTTATACTGAAAAGAGATACTGCCTATTCCCACCAGCCTGAGTAATCATTACTTTACTTTTTGTAAATTCTACACTTTCTATAGAGACAGAAAGTAAATTTCCTTTTCTAAAGGAAAGGCATTTAATATAAACAAAATCATATAATGTGTGGTATGTTCTGACTCCTTTTAGTTAACTTATTCTTTTTTTAAAGTTCATCAGTATTTTCGCAATAATAAAGATTCTCTTACATAACACCCTTTTGCACGGCAGCAGTATGTAGAGACAAGAGTAGGGATTTCAGGGGAAAGGAGATGTGGGGTGCTATCAAGCTGCGGCACTTTTTCGCTGAGTCTTTGCAGAACTCCCCAGTCGCTGAGATAAAGCTGCAGACCCACAGTAACAGTCCTCTTAGACTGTTCTCTTCAACTGTTCAGTGAATTAGCTGAGTTACAGTAACAGATAACAGATATTCAGTAAACTCAGTCTTTCTACGTTGCCCAGCAATCTGTCTATTTCTCACCCCCTGCTTCAAACTGCACAGTGAATCTTGGAGCCTCCCTACCAGCCTTCACATCATGCTTGAAATGATAATAAAGCAATATCAGAAACAGAGTTCCGCCAAAGGGAATCACGTCCTTCATTAGTGGGGCCCAGATGGTAAGGCACTAAAGGGATTTCCTTCAATTATATCACTGTCACTTCTTATAAAGAATATCAAATTATATTTAATTATTTATTTAGACAGGGGAATGTGTCAAATTCTAGGCTAGATTATTGTGAAATTTTCTGTTTACAGAATCAAAGAGCACCCTCACTCCCCACCAATTCTTATAAAACTGCTTCCGTTAGTGTTAACCTCAGAGTAACAGATAAGCAAGCAGCAAAGAGTTACCAAACTCTTTGTAAATCCAACCGGCTTCATATCCTCAACTCTCAACATTTATCCAACGCCTTCAGACTCCTACCAAAGGGATCCACAGAATTCAGTTCATTAGTGGAGCAGAGTCAAGTGACTTGAGCTCCTGCTCATTTCTCCAGCTCCTCTCTCTGATTAGAATAGGTTCTGATTTTGAGTTTTGAGTAAAAGGGGTCTGGATATGTCTTCATCTTGAATTTATGGAGATGCTCACTTTCAGCTCTAAACTCCTTCCCAGGCAGCGGTTCTCCACTTTTCAGTCATCATGATTCCACTTCACACTCCACATGGCTTTTTCTCGGTGCCTGTTATTGCTCCATACTGAAATACATTCCTCCCCATCACTTCCCAGTCTACTTTCTGTTAAATACAACTTAACAGAAAATGGTAAAGCTTCTCAATTTTACTACTAAATAAAACAGGCTTTCCTGATATCTTGTGTTTCTTTCTCTTTAAGTAAATAAAGATTCCACTGTCAAACATAAATGAATTATTAAAAGAAGTAAGATGTTTTTCTTAACTTTATATCCCAGTAATATGACTCTATCTTGTTGGCATAGAACTAGGGAAACTAGTTCTGTTTTCTAAGTGATTTGTCTGAAGCAGCATCAGTTGAACAGAGTCATCTACACTTGATTTACATTAAAGCCACACTCACAAAGAAATAAAATGGGTAGATCAGAATTGAGCTAACTGAGCGCTGACAGTGTCCTTGCAAGCATAATGCTGTTTCACAACAGCAACTGTTGGCAAATCGCTGGCTCTTTCTCAGGACCGAGGTCCAGATGGAGTAGATGGCATCCCAGAAAAGTAGTTTCATTCATTTGCTCTATTAGCACCTTCCACGGATTTGAGAATCCATAAGTGTGATAACAACAACAACAACAACAATAAAAATGATGGGGGAGGGAATAAATGTAGCTGATGTTACCTCAAATTTGTCAATATCCACAATGTGTACAAACAAAACAGAACAACAAAAACAACCATTACTTGTGTCAAAACGTCCCTTTCACATCTAGTGAAAGAATGTAAATTTTAGCCCAAGATTTTATTTTACTGGTTTTAAGCAGCACCATAGGAATGCAACACAGGACATAAACAGTTTACTAAATCCTGAGATTTAGTAAAGATTTTTTTTTCTCTCTAGCACAGGCCCTTTGACCAGCAGCAGATTACGAAATCGTCTTCAAATAGGATAATGTAACTTTAACGCACAGGCGTTCCACTCACCAAAATCCTAATTCCAGTTAATTCACTGAAAGTTAACTTTTAAAAGTCAGTTAATGGCCGAAATCACACATGTGCATGCATGCATGTCCGTCTGTCTGTCTGTCTATCATCCCTGTAACACAGCTCACATAACACATTTTGTACAGCCTCACTCATCTCAGAGCGGTCGGTTAAAAATACCAGATTTGCAGAGATCGTTCTGAGGTCTCAGTCGCCACAGCGTTCTTGTGGCATCCATGCATCGTGCACACGAATTGCCACATAAAGTCAAGCGTCTCCTACCCTGAGATGGCAGCCAGCTTTTGGTGTGCCTGACGGGCCATTTCACAGCCTTTGGTTCTTGTCTTGTGCATTTCGGCCCGCAGCGAGGGGCAGCTGACTGAGACGTCTCCAATAGAAATGACCAACTCTCGGTACAGGGCCACTTGAGTGTTGAACTCTTGGACAAGCTGAAAAACAAGGCAATTTCTTTCACTAAACACCAGAAACTTAACTATTTTGGTGTACGTAAACAGAGGTTTCACTGACCGCTGGGCTGGCACCCAAAACCTCCAGCTAAGGAGTCTTAGGATTGCTAAAGCTGAAGATGGAAGGATGGCAAAGTCTCTTTACCCAGAGCAAATGTTTGCTTTCCCTCGGCAAGCTAGCCATGGAAGCTCCATTTGCGGTCCCAATTGCTCCCACATTTAGATTTGGTTTCTGGAGAGCAAGAACATCTTTGGAGAGCCATCAAGCCACTCCCAGGCCACTAGGGAATGGTGCAGGGGGCTCTGAGATAGATGTTCTCCCTTCCACTGCTAGTACATGGATTTGAAGTGGCACAGGAAAAACACAAAAACCCACAAGTAGGACACAACAGGCAAACCTTTCACCTCTGGCCGGGCCACTCAAGGTTTCTGGCCTGGACCCTAACAGAAGCCCTGGCCGCGTCCTGTGCTTTGATCTGGGACCTTTCATAGCCACTGCAGCGCTTCCTGCGCTCTGTTTGGGTTTGTTTGTTACGGTGTCGCCACAAAGCCGCACCCCCGCCCTCTTTCCCTGCTGAGGCAGCCAGTTCACCCTCTTTCGCGTCTACCATTCCTCCAGGGGTAGAGGCATCACCTAATAGCCTCTGACTCCCAGGATCCAGACCCACGACAGGACCATTTCGACCTGGGTGTCACCCCGCATCTGGGGGAGTGCAGATTTAAAAATAGTACAATCGTGCACGTGATCCGCATGGAGAGGCTGAGGGTGGGGAGCGGCTGGCACTCAAGCAAACGATTAAGATACACGACTCTCCCAACCCCCCTCAAAAAAAAAAAAAAAAAAAAAAGCTCAGTTTTCACCCACCATCTTGCAGTCGTCCAGGGCTCGTTGGGTTTTGTGGGCGCTTTCGGAGCCGCTGCCCCTGCGCTCCCAATCCCCGCTCTGCAGCGGAGGCTTGCTGATCTGGAAGATCGAGGAGCGGGTGGACCGGCTGGGGCGCTTTTTGCGCCCATTCGGTGCAGAACTCATGCATACACATCCACCAAGCCGAAGCCGCTGGTGCAGTGCGCCCCGGCGCGGGCGGCCCGGTGGTTGCCCCCTGCACGCCGCCGCGGAGCAGCCGGAGCCCGGACCCGAGGCGCGCGCGGCTCACAAGGTTGCGGCTGGCTGCGCGGGTGGGTAACCTTCAGCTTGAAGGAGAGCCGGGAAAACGCTGTCTGCGCGGTGCAGCATCGCTTCCACTAGCGGCGACGGAGAGGCGCGATCAAGTTGGGCTCAGCAGCATCGCCGGCCCGGTCCCGGGAGCTGGACGCTGCTGGCGCGGGCTTGCACCGCCTTCCCCTCGGCATGGATTGACAGGCTGAGCGAGGAGGAACGCGCCGCCGGGCGGTTCCGAGTTTCCATTCAGATGGGGGAAGCGGCGTTCAAAGCCTGCGCTGCCAGGTGGGGGGCGGGAGGGGGTGTCGCTCTTGCTTCGGTGTCTTCCCGCAGCGGCGGCGCGCGCTTCGCCTCTCCCCTCCCTCCGCGCTCGCCAGGCCTGGAAGGGGCGAGCTGCTCCGCAGCGGGCAGTTGGCTCTGGGCGGCCGCCTCGATCCCTCGTCTCCGCGCGCCCGTCTGCTTGAGGATCCCAGACAATTCCGTGGCGGGACTGGCAGACGCACGGAGTCCGTCCGGCTGACGTTGGTCGCGGCCCCGCACATTGATAGGACAGGAATGCTAATGTGATCCGTCCATACAATCTCCTTCCCCTCCATAGTTTATGCACTTATCCAATCAAATTCCCGGGAACATCAGTTGCGATATTACTTCATCTGCTCTATTATTAGAAGCGAAAAGTGTCACCAGAGTGGAGCACATTGCCACATGCTGGGACCTAAACATGGTTTCAAACAAACCGATCGGGGCTTAAGGCCACCGTCATCCGAGCGGAGACCCTCTCGTGAGAGAGTCCAAGGGCAGCTGTGTTTCCCTGGGCGGCTCTCGCTTGGTCTTTGTTCCTGAGAGGGGCAAGGAGGTGAAGGCACAGCGGCGGGCGTTCATTGAAGTTGGTACCTATCCTCACCCTGCTTCAGCTGGTCGCGTTGCAGAGCCTGCAGCTCAAACCTGCAGGAGTTTACCAGCAGAGCCTAGAGGAAGTAAGAGCCAGCAGGTCTCCCCAGCGCACAGAATGACCTTTTCTCCCTGTGGGAGGTCAGAGTCAGCAGCCAAGGGAAAGGGGAGAAAGGTATCTCCAGGAAGGGGTGGGCTCAGATCCTCAGCCCATCAATTCTTCCCTGACGAGTGACTTTGCAGAATTCTCTTGGAAAGGAGAGGGAGGGAGTGGTAAGGCCATTCAACTCTGAAAGCTTGTTCCCGGAGAACGGGGCTAAGCAAACTAGTTTCCCTGGGGAAGGAGTTCTGTATCGGGCAACCCGTAGTAAAGGGCGCGTCAGAGGTTCCTGGTCAATGTCTCAGATGACTGCGGAGAGTACACAGAAAGGGGAGACAGCAATAGCCAGGGAGCCAAGCTTAAGTCAGTCTTAGAAGTACCTCCAGATTTTTTTCTTTATTTCCTGAAATTAAAATATAATCACATCATTTTCTTTCTTCCCTCTCCAAAGAGTAAAAGAGTTCATCATCTTTACTTAGTCATGTAAAGGAATCTATGAGAAACCCGGCACCCAGATGTCACCACTGACTTCCATGTTGGAGACAACATCGAGGTGCTAGGAGGTTGCTAAGCCCAGCTGGGACTTAAAAGCAGCAGCCTCTACCTTTTCCTAAAAATCACATGAACTTATTGTTTCGGAAGTTCATGCATACATAAAATGTTCCTCCACCACCTGCTCTCTGGTTCCTGCCTGTCCCCGTTACTATTCCCTCCCACAATTTCATGTGTTCTTTTTTTTTTTCTTCTTCTTTTTAAACCCACTGAACCCACTTAGTGCTGTCAGTAAGTGTATGGGTGGAGGGCCATCTTATACTCATAAAGTGGATCATTGTAGCCTCTTGGGGGCTGCATTCTTGAACAAACTTATATCCTCTTTTCCAAAGCCATCAGGTGTCAATAGCTCTTTAGCTAGGGGTAGGGCTTCCTGATCCCCTTCCCTGTCCACAAAAAGCTATTGTCTAGGTTGATTTTGCTAAGGTCTTCTTCACGCTGTTACAACTGCCTTGAGTTCATGTGTACAACTGCCCTGTTGTTTCTGGAAAACACTGTTTATTTGAAGCCATCCCCTGCCTCTGGCCCTTACAATATTTTCATCCCCTCTTCCATGATGATCTCTTACCTTGGAGACAAGAATATGTGATGCAGATGCCCCACTTAGGATTAAACACTCTGAAATCTCTTATTCGTTGCTTAGTGACCAGTGGTAGGTCTCTGTTTTAATTGACATCTACTGCAAAGAGAAATGACAAACCAGCCTGTTGCCACCTTAGCCTTGAAAACCATCTTTTATTAAAGATAAACTAGATTCATTCCTGTTTATGATGATATCTGTTTATTAAGGGTTGGGCTATGTACCACCTATACCCTTAACTACAGAAGGTTCTGTACTTCTGTTCCAGGAAACAGCAAACATGACTTTGTTTCAAAAGGTTATCATGACCACTTGTTATTATGACCACCTTGCTATGACTACCTTACAACCATGTCTTTGTTTCAGGAGGTTGTTATGACCAACTTGTTAAGCTTACTTTCTGCTTTTCTATCCAACCTGTTTACCTGACAAATCCTCCATTTTAAAACCCTCTACTCCTGGACTATGAAAGCCCTTATCTTACCCATGCCCGATACTGATCTCGTGAATTCCCCTTACCCATGTCCAATGTTGATTTCTTTTTAAAAAATATTTATTTATTTATTTTTATTACAATTTATTTACTTTGTATCCCAGCTGTAGTCCCCTTCCTCATCTCCTCCCAGACCCACCCTTCCTCCCTCTTCTCCTCCCATGTACCTCCCCAAGCCCCTTCTATCTGACCCTAGCCTAACAGGTCTCATCAGGACTGGCTGTATTGCCTTCCTCTGTGTCCTGTCAAGGCTACTTCCCACTCAGGGGGAGGTGTCAAAGAGCCAGCCACTGAGTTCATGTCAGAGACAGTCCCTGTTCACATTACTAGGAAATCCACTTGGACACTTAGTTGCCATGGGCTTTATCTGTGCATGATCCTTGGTTGGATTATCATTCTCAGAAAAGACACATGTGCCCAGATTTTTTGGATCTGTTGCTCTTCTTGTGGAGTTCTTGCCCCCTCCAGGTCTTCCTATCTCCCCTTTCTTTCATGAAATTCCCTGCATTCTGCCCAAAGTTTGGTTATGAGTCTCAGCATCTGCTTTGATACCTTGCTGGGTAGAGTCTTTCAAAGGCCTTTTGTGGTAGGCTCCTATTTTTTTCCCTCTTCTAATGTCTGTCCCGTTTGCCTTTTAGAGTGAGGATTGATCATCTTACCCAGGGTCCTCCTTCTTGCTTAACTTCTTTAGGTGTACAGATTTTACTATGTTTATCCTGTTTTATGTCTAACATCCACTTATAAGTGAGTATATACCATATGTCTCTTACTGCTTCTGGGATACCTCACTCAGGATGATCTTTTCTAGTTCCAACCATTTGTCTGCAAATTTCATGATGTCCTTGTTTTTAATTGCTGAATAGTATTCCATTGTGTAAATGCACCACGATTTCGATATCTATTCCTCCACTGAGGGACATCTGGGTTGGTTCCAGATTCTGGCTATTACGAATAAAACTGCTATCAACAAGGTTGAGCAAATGTCCTTGTTGTAGACTTGGGCATCTTTTGGATATATACCTAGGAGTGGTGTAGCTGGATTCTGAGGAAGCACTATTCCTAGTTGTATGAGAAAGCTCTAGATTGATTTCCAAAGTGGTTTGCAAGTTTACATTCCCACCAGCAATGGAGGAGGGTTCTCCTTTCTTCACATCCCTTCCATCATGTGCTGTCACTTGAGTTTTTGATCTTAGCCATTCTGATGGGTGTAAGGTGAAATCTCAGGGTCGTTTTGATTTGCATTTCCCTGATGACTAAGGACACTGAGCATTTCTTTAAGTGTTTCTCTGCCATTCAATATTCCTCTGTTGAGAATTCTCTGTTTAGTTCTGTACCCCATTTTTTAATTGGATTATTTGATTTGCTGCTTTTTAACTCCTTGAGTTCTTTATATATTCTGGATATTAGCCCTCTGTCAGATATAGGATTGGTGAAGATCCTTTCCCAGTCTGTTGCTGTTGTTTTATTCTGATGACAGTATCCTTTGCTTTACAGAAGCTTTTCAGTTTCATGAGGTCTCATTTATTGATTGTTGATATTAGAGCCTGTGCTGTTGGTGTTCTGTTCAAGAAGTTGTCTTCTGTGCCAATGAGTTCAAGGCTCTTTCCCATTTTTTCTTCTAACAGGTTTAGTGTGCCTGGTTTTATATTGAGGTCTTTGATCCACTTGGACTTTAGTTTTGTGCAGGGTGATAAATATGGATCTATTTGCAGTTTTCTACATGTAGACATCCAGTTAGACGAGCACCATTTGTTGAAGATGCTGTCTTTTTTCAATTATATGGTTTTGGTTTCTTTGTCAAAAATCTCCATAGATGTGCTGGTTTATTTCTGGTTCTTCTATTTGATCCCATTGAGCCACCATTCTGTTTCTATGCCAATACCATGCAGTTTTTATTACTACTGCTCTGTAGTACAGCTTGAAATCAGGGATGGAGATACCTCCAGATGGTCTGTTGTTGTACAGGATTGTTTTTGGCAATTCTATTTTTTGTTTGTTTGTTTTATTTTTCCATATGAAATTGAGAATTGTTCTTTCAAGTTCTGTAAAGAACTGAGTTGGTATTTTGATGGGGATTGAATTGAATCTGTAGATTGCTTTGGCAGGATGGCCATTTTCACAATGTTAATCCTACCAATCCATGAACACGGGAGTTCTTTCCATCTTCTGATATCTTCTTCAATTTCTTTCTTCAGAGTATTGAAGATTTTTTTCAAACAGGTCTTTCACTTGCTGTTTGGAGTCACACCAAAGTATTTTATGTTATTAGTGGCTATTGTGAAGGGTGTTGTTTCCCTGATTTCTTTCTCAGCCTTTTTGTCTTTCATATACAGGAGGGCTACTGTTTTTTTTTTTTTTTTGAGTTAAATTTGTAACCAGCACTTTGCTGAAAGTGTTTATCAGCTGAAGGAGTTTTCGTGTTGAATTTTGGGGGTCAGTCATGTATACTATCCTATCATCTGCAAATACTGATAGTTTGACTTTTCCCTTTCCTATTTGTATCCCCTTGATCTCCTTCAATTGTCTTATTGCTTTAGCTAGGACTTAAAGTACTATGTTAAAGAGATATGGAGAAAGTAGGCAGCCTTGGCATGTCCCTGATTTCAGCGGGATTGATTTAAGTTTCTCTCAGTTTAATTTGATATTAGCTATAGGCTTGCTGTGTATTGTCTTTACTTTGTTTAGGTATGTGCCTTGTATCCCTGATCTCTCCAAGACTTTAAATATGAGTAGGTGTTGGATTTTCTCAAATGCTTTTTTTGGCATCTAAGGAGATGAGCATGTGGTTTTTCTCCTTCAGTTTGTTTATGTGGTGGATTACATTGATGGATTTCCGTATGTTGAACCACCCCTGCATGAC